GGTCAAAGTTGGCAATCAAGTGAAGGAACTGAAGGAGGGTGATGCAGTGTATGGAAACATAAACGAGAAGGCATTGGAAGGACCAAAACAATTCGGCTCTTTGGCAGAATACACTGCTGTTGAAGAGAAGTTATTGGCCCTCAAACCTAAGAATCTGGATTTTATACAAGCTGCTGGTCTTCCTCTAGCAATTGAAACCGCATATGAGGGTCTGGAGAGGACTGGCTTTTCTGCTGGTAAATCTATTCTTGTTTTGAATGGTTCTGGTGGTGTTGGAAGCCTTGTGATTCAGGTATGCTATACTGGGCAATCACTAGTCCAATTTTCCTATGCCATATGTTAAAACATGACTTAAGCTTGTGTAGTAAGCAAAAAGCATATTTCCAGCTTGATTTGCAGCTGGATTTGAGCCTAAGTTATCTCTGTTCTTAACAACATCCTGTCAAATAGCAATCAAGTAGTTTGATTAACAACGGTGAAAACCTGTAATATGAGGCTTGAGCATACCACAAAACCCTCCCGGCTAATCAGTTTTGGTAATTGCTCTATATTGAACAAATGATCTCCCTTTTTCATCTGCTTTTCACTTTAAGTACATGATTGAGCTAACATAATTCAAGTTCTGTATGATGCCAACTCTGATCCAGGAGCAAATCTTAATAATAACAATAATAATAATAACAACAACAATTTTCATATAATTAGTGGCTTTACATACCTTTATCAGAGATTCTCTTTTCAATCTTTTTTTTTTTTATTTCTATTCTCTTGCAGCTAGCAAAACATGTGTTTGGTGCTTCAAGAATCGCAGCTACTTCAAGCACTGGAAAATTGGAGTTGCTCAAGAGTTTGGGGGCTGATTTGGCTATTGACTACACTAAAGAGAACTTTGAAGATTTGCCAGAAAAGTTTGATGTAGTGTATGATGCTATTGGTAAGTTTTAACACTAAATGATTGTCTCAAAAAGGGATTATAATTTCTTTTTTCCTGTTAAATTACCCAAAATTACTCCGAATTTGGGCCAAACTAAACTTAGTCCTTAAACCCTTTTTTTTTTTTTTTTAATTTGATCACCATGAGCTATTTTTTTCGGTAAAAAAGGGTCCTTTCGTCGAAGTTTCCATCCCTCCATTAATTTTATTTTTTCAGATTAATTTTTTTCACAATAATTGCCGTATTTATCATTTATGATCAAAATCAACAAAAAAGAACTGTTTTTTAATCAAAAAATAGTTTAAGGTACTCGAATAAAAAGAATTAAAATTCACGGGCTAAAATCATTTTGACCCAAAATTCAAAGGAACTTTTGATAGTTTTTCCTTTTATCATAAGATCTCACCCACAAGTTCTACTCTAAAAAAGCATAAGAAAGATGTGGTTAAGGTTAGTTTGAAGGAAAAATCCGAACGAGTTCATAGTAATTTCATTACAGGGCCTGGCAACTTAGCATGCTTTCATTTCCAAGACTGCAGCTTATTTCATTACTAGAGATGTAACTAAACCATGTTCTTTCCTTGTTACACTTCTCGGTTTGATTGCCACAGTTAATTTAATGAAAGTAACGATCTTTTGCTCCAAAATGACAGGACAATGCGATAAGGCAGTGAAGGTTGTGAAAGAAGGGGGCAGTGTGGTGGCCTTAACTGGTGCAGTCACCCCCCCTGGTTTTAGATTTGTGGTCACTTCCAATGGGAATACTTTGAAGACACTAAACCCTTACTTGGAGAGTGGAAAGATAAAGCCAGTGGTTGATCCTAAAGGCCCGTTCACATTTTCTCAGGTCGCAGAGGCCTTCTCTTACATTGAAACAAACCGAGCAACTGGAAAGGTAGTCATTCATCCAATTCCATGAGATGAATGGAAGTATCAATCCCATTTTGCAATGTGTTCTTCCTTTAATAACGCGCTCCAATTAATCCCTACTTCGTTAACAATATTGGGCCAAGAGTATGTTGATATGTAGAGTATATGAGAGCTAAAGTTTTCCATTTCTTGAAGGATGCTTGATTAGATTAGCTCAAAGATTAAGTGTTCGTTTGTCTATTTGATAATGCCTGCCGTATTTTTAACCGTGATAATGGTTTTTTAAAGTAAACACAGCTTTAACCGTGCAGATAAACGTAGCTTAAGAGGGAGCAAGCATGGGTTTGATAAATAACTGGAAGTTATTTTTGTTTGAAAAAAAAATTAAATTCATGTTTTTATAGATATTTTCCCATGATTTTAATATCTACATTAAAAAAAATCAATTTGTTGTTTTATTTAAATAAAAAAACATTTCAAAAAAAGTATCAAACAGTGCTACCGGTGTCTGAAGATGAGGATGGCATGAAATTGAAACAAACCTTAAAATTATCAATAAAACATCGTTAACCCTAAACAAATTTATTAGTTGAATTGATATCATAAATCTTAACCCCATCAAGGCCAAAAAGCCCAAAATGCTTCTCATACTCCTCCCCATTTTTCTCATTCTCATCAAAGAGATCAAATATGTATACTTCCATCTCTTCATTTGGCTGTCTCGGGGCCCCGACATAATTCGAGCAAAAAGCACTGTACTACAGACCTAGAATACACTTATCAGGGATAATGATGCTGCTTCTAGCAGATTCAATGGACTGCCTTTACTACAGACCTAGAATACATTTCGCCTGCAAGGGATGTTTAAGCAACTAGGTTGAAAGAAAGAAGGTTATTTTTATATAAATTCTAATTTACTTTCTTTAGCAATCAATTATTTTGAGAATTTAAAATTATCTCCTCAGTAGTTATAATTTCAGGAGAGAGAACCTCACCAAGCAAGCTGTATTTCAGCCATTCAATTTCATGGTCCTCGAACTGCAAATAACGGATGATAAAGGGATTATGTTCTAGGTTTTTGTGTTTTTATTCTTATTTTTTATATATAATTAAGTTGATTAAGAGACAAGTTGGTAATGTAATACATATAAATATTTTTTTAAAAAAATAACTAAAATGAGCATTTCACACGTCATCGCTTAGATTGGTTTTTTTTTTTGTTGAATTGGTCTATTATTATTTATTTTATTTCAAATAATATTTTAAAAAAATAACTAATATGAGCATTTCACACATCGTCGCTTAGATTGGCTTTTTTTTTTTTGTTGAATTGATCTATTATTATTTATTTTATTTCAAATAATTTTTTAATTTTATCTATTTTTAATTTTTTAATTTTTTATATTTAGTTTTTAATTTTTTATTGTTATTTGTTTTCTTTGAGTTGTTTTAAAAATTAATATCATTTTTTATTTTTTTTCAAATGTTTTCTCTTTACAAATATTAGCGTTGTTTGGCTATCATTTTTTTTATTGTTAATTTTTTTCTAATTTATTTATTATTTTCATATTATTTTATTTAAACTAACTAAACTTATTAAAGCTAAGTAGAAACTCTTGAAATATTTTTTTTAAAAAGTACTCCCGTTACCTTGAAAGTTGTTTTAGATCAATCAGCAGTATAACACGGGCTATCCATCTCAGTTTTCTCTATACTAATCAGATGTCTTCTGCCCAAACATTGCCTCTGCTAAGTGCTGCAAAGGATCATAATGGTCCATGCCATATTTTTGCCTCCCATTCCTCTTTATTAACCTGTATTATCCTGGTAATATCTAGACTCCAAGTGATTGCTGGCCCATGTCATAAATGCGATGTTATTTTTTTGTCGCTTTCAGTATCCATTTGTTGGGAGCATATTATACCACAAATTCAGATTTGATTTCTGAATATTATTTAATTCAATGACTTGTATGATATATATCAGAGATATTCTATAGATACAAACATTCTACACTTATCCTTGGTATGGAGAACAATGATATATGACGGGAATTTTATCATGGTGCTTCTAATACGAAGGAAACCCTAACAAATTTTATTTTAAGGCAAAACACAAGCATCCAATAGAACGATGAAAGGGGGACATATTTCACAGATAAATAGCATTACCGTAAATTACTCTAAAAAAAAAACTTCATACAACATGCTAACGAGTTACTAGATAGTTGTCCCGAGCTATGCATTCAAAATTAAATAAACAACCAGCCTCTAAAACCAGAGCTGCAAACCTTTTTCTTATTTTTTTTTCCAGCGTCCCAGACACCATTTTCATCTCCATCACCAGTCACCCCCTACCTCATATTAAGGTAGATCAAATTCAGTATTTGTTGCTAGAATAGTGTGTGTGTGTGTATTATTCATACGGTTTGTGGGCCTGTGGGGCTTTTTTCATCTGCCTCCCATTTCTCGTCACCATCACATTCTCTCTCTAGTCACATCGCTCAGTGGATTTTCTATGAAAAATCTTTTATTTTTTTCCGAGGAGATAGGACTTGTGTTATTCATGGTGACGGTGGAGACAAGGGAAACCAATTAATTGGTTGTACTTGAAAAGATAATTGAAGATAAGGATGTGGTTTACAATTGCATCCCGAAACGTGTTTTATAATTTTTTAATATTAAATTTTGTTTTACAAAATAAAAAAATATTATTTTAACATATATTTTAAAAAAAAAAACAAACGTAGAAGTCGTTTCTTAAATACCTTCTCAATTAAAATCTCTTCACTACGAACTTGCGATTGGATTAATTTCTGGATAGGTAGATTAAGCAATTATGATCCCATGCATGTACGTCTTCATAAAACAAAAGAGGCTGGCTCCCTTTTCATTGTCTATCTACGTGAATTTTATTTGATGTTTGGCGAAAGGATTAAATGTTGTGGAAGGGGTGGACACTGTAAGGGCAATTAATTTAAGCTTTGAAAAATTAACCCCCCCAATGTTAATGGTAATTTGTATTTATATATATGTGATTTCCGATTAAGGTTTGGTGCTTGATGGTCTAAGAGGTAATGTGATATTTCAAATTATATTTGGTTTGGAAAGGCGTATCTTTTTCAAGTCAACTATAATTTCAACCACATTTAAATATAAAAGCAAGCTATACTTTCTGAAAAATAGAAACCAGAGTATTAGAACGCTTAAACCATGGAAAATCCAAAGTAATTTGCTCATAATAAAAGTAGGTAGATGCATAAACAACACAACTAGTTTTCTTAGTCCTGTACATCTGCTTAATTCTCGTCACACAACATGGTAGACCAAGCTACAAAGGGTACTAGAAATTAAACAGAAAACTTCCTCGTGATCAAGTAGAAGCCACTTATTCTCGTACAACTCAGGAGATCCCCGTAGACAAAACACAGAACAGCATCAATCCATGTTCAGCTTTTACTTCACACTGCAACAAAACAATTTTATTTTAAGAAAAAACCAGTACAATCTCGATCAGGATCCATGAATAAAATGGAAATTAAACATCGAATACCATAATAAAGCATCTAGTTAATCATACCTTTTGCAGTCAGTAGAGGGGTCAATCTTGTAAGGAAGTTTAACCCCACATTTGCCGGGAAGTCCAGCAGCAAGAGCAACATTACGACTATTGTATGAGAATTGACTAGCCGTGTTTTTCAAGCACGTACACACGCTCTGGCGATCCGGTGTGGTACGGGCCGCACTGTTAATTCCCCTGATCGCATTGCAGCAGTTGCCTGTCAGTGCCCCATTGCCGACTACATAGGATATGCAAGGGGTTAAGGTGTTAATCACCTGATTACATGAAATCGCTGCTTTAGTGGTGGATGCAGTCATGACCATGATGCACACAACCAAGCAAACTAAATTAAGGGCTCTCGGACTTGGCATGATTGATGAATCTATTGGAGCTAGCAGATTATAAGCTTCACTTGTTATTGGCTGAAGGGTGAGTTTTAGGGCTCCAGGATGTGGGGTTTATATAGGGAAAATGTGCAGGCATTACTGGTGAAGATTTTGTGTTTTACGATCAACATATTAAATTCTTGGTAGTTGAGGTTAATGGAATTTGGTTGCGAACATAAATGCTGCAGTAAATTAAGCAAGTGACTAAACATCAAACCCCAACTATCACCATGGGCAGATTAAAGACAGAAGCTACTCCAAGCATACTGTTCTACTTACCGGTCGCAGGTTCGTACATACATCGAAGTAAAGACAAATAGATTTTGATGTGGATGTTTTTTAGAGTATTTTTACTTAGAATATATTAAAGTAATTTTTATTTTATTTTTTAAATTCATTTTTAATATTAGTATATTAAAACAATAACTTTTTAAAAAAAAATCAATTTTTTTTTTAAAGTACAGTCGCCCAACAGAACGAACTCAAGAGCAGCCCTACTATGCATGAACTGAGCTTAGCATTATGTGAAGAGATCTTCGGAAGTTTGAACATGGCATCCTCTTTCTAAGGTAATTGCAGCGCGGATTGAGAGGTAAAATAGAGTCATAATTTGGAGATTGGATTGCATTAATTCACTTGTCTATTCCTTACAGGGAACTACATCTCTATTATTAGCTGATAATAATTGTAGGGGTAGCTCTGCTTTAACAACCACAACAACAAGAAGTCAAGAACTGCAGTCAAATTAATTAATTTATATAATTATACTGTGATACATAATTTTGTTTTAGTATTTTTAAATTAAAATATATTAAAATAATATTTATTATTATTATTTTTTGATATTACCATATTAAAACTATCTAAAAACATTTTAAAAAATTATTTTAATATTTTTCAAATAAAAAATAATTTAGTAACAAATAATTTACAAATACTTTGAAAACATGTGTAAAAAATAATTTACAAATACTTTGAAAACATGTTAGAACCTAAAAACAAACAACTCACTGATAAAATCTATTAAGGAGATATATATATTACATCCGTCAAATTTTGAGGTTTTCACTAAGAAAATCTCAAGATCAAACTCTGAGAAAAGATAGAATCGGAATGTAAAGAGGACGATAACCCTTGTTAAATAATCGCAAATCCATTGAACATCTACTTGAAAAAAAAAAAAAAAAAAGAGCAAAGATGGGCTAAAAGAATACTTGTAAGCATGGCCAATTCTACTTTCAGCAGTTTTCCAAGAATGGTGAGATTCCTTATGGTCTAGGGTTCTTCCATAAGTAATATTCCTTTTCTATTTCCACCTTTTATAGGTTATCAACATTTTTCGTACATGGGCACTCAAGAATGATTAAAGATCAACAAAGTTTTCAATTGTAATGAAGTCTTTGATAGCAAAACGATTGTGACACACCCTACCATACTTTCCTTCCATGTGTTCTTGTTCCTTTTAGAGATCCAGAACCGGATTGTTAGTTGTTGCTATTTATTTTTGTAACCATTAAAACTCTCTCCGGGCAGTCTCTACCCACCAGTTCTTGTACACATAAATGGTGAAGAGGAGCAGTGTGATAGCATGTTTTCAGAAGCAATACAAGGATAGAAATTCACGTTTTTAGTATAAATCTAATAGATTTGCAATCGAATTAAAACAATTGACGAAATGTTTAAGATATTTTCATTCCATGCTCTTTGTTTATTTTATCAAAAGGATCTCTCTTAACTTTTTTCTTTTCCTTTCAATTGTTTGTGTTACAAGTGTTCTAGCTTTTTTACGAGTTAGACAACACTTTCACGATATTGTTATAACTTTACATCTATTTGTTAGAGTAGGTATAAATTTTATCAGATTTTTCAATAGATCCGAGTTCTATATAAACATTTGAAATGTTATTTTTTTAATCAAATTATTGAATTTCAAAATTTTAAAAAATTATAAGTGTTTTCTCTATTTATTTCCTTGTAATATATGACTATAGCATTAGAAATTAAAAACCCTATTTTTTATCGAATGTTATATGTTGCTGTAACTAATGATACAAGAATTCACCGTTAAATGTGCAAAAGAAAAACTCGTAATTGAAGTGAAAATGGAGTTAATTAAACTTTACTCTTTTCTTCATTTGACAGCAATAGATTCCAAATAATGGTGGATGTGATGAGGTTGCAAAAATAATAGAGAATATTCTAGAAAGAATTATTCCTAGAAATTCTTGTATATTATTCACAATGTGTTCTACGATTTCTATTTCAAGATTGCATCAATTTTTTTTTTAATAAAACTTCTTAGAGGGCATGAATCTCTTCTTTAATAAATACCTGCACAAAGTCCCCTAGAAACTCCTGAGAGTGTTGATTGAGAACCCTTCAAAAATTAAGTCAGTACGAAGTATTTTTGTGTGGCAAAAAAATATTAATAAATGTAATGATTAGCTTTTATGAAGATAGAGAAGAAGAAGAGGAAGATGATGTAAAATTAAGAAAGAAGAAGTAGAAAATATGCTTATGTCTTAGAGTATAAGATTTCAAACCCCTTTCTATATATTTCTGCCCTCTTTTATATTATATGACTTGATCTTCATACAACGTAAGAGAAGCAAAGTATAAGAGGCTTAATATGGGCTTCATACAACGTAGGAGAAGCAAAGTATAAGAGGCTTAATATGGAGTTACTTTTCAGCTATGCACTAAACCTGAGTGGCATTTGATTCAACTCACACACTAAGCTCAGTAAGAGTTGAGTTCAGCTTGTGACAATATCCATTTTATAGTCTAACATGGAGTTGAGTGTGGTCGCATCCCTGACCCAACAGGGGGTTACATGTGGACACCACATAGGCCAATGTGGAGAAATTATCCTCCTTAATTGTTTGAAGTCACCACTAAGTATTTTGATCACTAGAAATCTTAATTGGTCTTCAGAATCTAGAAAAACAAATTGATTGTGTATAAAAAGGATAATATCACCCCTAATATATCTTACCTACAGTAAACTGCATTGTTTATTTATTTGATCACTAGGTCGTTATTGTGTTTTTCTAATTGTTGCTCTATCTATTGGTTAAAAATTGGTCCACCCAAATATATTTTTGTATTTGTTTATTTTAATATTAGGAATACTTCGTACGTATAAGTTTGTAATCCTTGAAATTAAAGTAACTAGATTGAATTTTTTTTTAATATGTTTTTGAAATATAAACCAAGTTTTCATGGATTAAATAAACTTGTTATTAAATCAAAAAATACATGCAGAAATAATTTTTTTAATTTTGGTATTAAAAAAATACTAAATCATGTCATATATTTTTATCTTTATTATTATATTTTTTTTTATACAAAACATGATTTAGTCCCTGAAAGTTTAGAAATAAGAGAAAAAATCTGAATCGGTCACATTCTAATCATTAAAAAACATCGACCTTGGAGTTAATGGTTCATCTAAAAGAGGTGAGTTCAATTAAATGGGTTTGGTTATTTAATCATGATGAAAAAATATATCAGAATCTAGAAAGTTTATTTTGATTTAGTTTAATTTAAAGTTTCCAAACTAATTAAATGTGTTATAGAATTGGAAATGAGGTTACTGAGATTTTTAATATGTTTTTTAATATGTATTTTTATGTGAAAACATGTTAAAATTTTAGTTTTGAAGATACAAAAACTCCGACCTTGATTTTATGGTGACTAGAGATTTTCTAAATTTGTTACTGTGGACACATCACATGCTTGGATGAACACTTTTTTTTTAAAAAAAAAGATGTAAATAGGTCTGGCTTCGCATGCATAAACTCTTTTAGATTATCTTTTCGAGCATCAACTTGCTTAGGTTTGATTTTTATAGTCCTTCCTTAAATTATTTTTATTTTTATTTTTTATACTTTAAAATAATTTTTTTCAAATAAAAAATTAAAATAATATTTTAAAAATTACAGAACGATACCATATTTTTCAAGTAGGGTTAGAAGTTTTTAATAGTAATGTTGTCTATTACTTTAATTTATGAATTATATATGAACCTAATAGGTACATTTTTATTTATTTTCATGAACATTAATGAAACTAAAATATCCAATTTTTTTTTATTGTCAAGATTTTATGTAATTTTCTCAAAGTAATAATACTATTTTTTTTCTTCTCTTTTTTTAGTAGATAGTTGCATAAAAATCATCAAGGCATATTTGTTTTATTAAAATTTTCTTTTCAAATTATAATAAATTTGTATTAATATTCAATGCTATAAATATAAAAATACATGTTCTTACAAGAAAATAAATACATAAACAAAATTGATAATGCATTATATATTGATTAGAATGAAAGCTTGCAACATAGGGTAGACAATTGAAGTAATACATACGAGGAGCCAGTTTGGGAATCACTATTTTAGCTATGACTGTGACTTTTAAGTTATTGGTAATTTTTTTAAAGGTAATGCCATCGTAAATATTCATATCTTTGAAAATTAACTATAAAGTGTTCGGTAATTTTTTAAAAGCTAATGCCATCGTTTTTTCCACGTATTATTCTTAGAAGCTACAATTTATAATTTTTTAAAAATCAGGATTGCAGCTAAAAGCCATGACCACAACTTTTCTAAATAGACCTAAATTATATCATCTTTTTTATATTAAGATTTTTATATTTTATAATTATAAATATTCATATCTTTGAAAATTAACTATTCTTTTTGCAATATATATATATATATATATATAAACACTATATCCAGTCGGTGACCGACATGGAAAATTGCAAATGGAACAGGCCTTTCGGCTAAAATAATTTCCACGGTACTCGTTCCTTAAACTGGGCCCACCTACACGACAGGAGTAGCTGATGAATTAATACATGTCCCGTACAGGTGTGCAAGATGGCACCCAAACTTTGAATTTTATCAATTTAACCCTTATATTTGAAGTTTATCTCATCACTATTCTCCATTTAACGTCCTCAAAAGAAGTAATTTATTTTCTATATACCCCTCTGGCTTAATTTATTTTCGAGTTACCATTACTACTTCTTACATTAGCCTCCCCTTAGAAATATC